ATAATAATAATAATAATAATAATAATAATAATAATAACAACAACAATAACAATAATAATAACAATAATAATAACAATAACAACAACAGCAACAACAATAACAATACAATTACGTAATAGTAATAATAATAATAATAACAATAGTAGTAGCAAAGCTAGTAGTAACACTTATAAAAATAACTCTTTGAAAGCAACGATATATGCCTATAGTAGTAATTCGTTAGAAAAGTTAAATGCAAGATAGAAGCCAGAAGTTTAAAAGTAATAATAAGGTAGTAAAAGATTAGATTAGTAACTGAGAAAAATGTTTAAGTCCATTAATTCGCATAATAATAATAGTAATAATAAAGTACCAAAAAAATATCAGGAAAAAAAGCAAAAGAAAAAACAAAAAAAAGCAAAAACATGCGCAGGTTCAATGCGCCAATTTACTGTAGTTCTAAAGGATCGAACCACAAATAGCATTGACAAAGTGCATCACAGAATAAGCAAAAATAAATTCTCAAGGCAGTTCATTCCATACTCTATTCCGCAATTTATTTTCACTTCGTTGTCATTTATTATGATTCGCATTAGTACGCCATAATTTTCCATCGGTAGTGCTGCATAAGAGGCAAGCGCAAATCTTGTGGTTCATTCCCCAGTTTCCTACTTTTAAAAATCCATAAAGTTTTTATACAGAAATGTTTCAATTCTAGGCTTATCCCTTCTCCTCAGCATTTAACATGGGTATACCCAGCGCTGTGGTTTCGTTGCATTCATTTTTATGCACTGAGCTTTAGGACCATTTTTCAGGAAGGACTATACAGCGATACCTCAAAGTCGCTGAACAAAGAGAAGTCAGAAGACCCACCGGTTAAGGAAAAGGAGACATCGCTAGTAGTGGAGGAACCGAATATTGTTCCACTTGGTAGTCGGAAAATTCGTTTTGCTGACGAAAATGGACATGACCTTGTTGAAATACGATATTTCGAAGTTGAGGAGGGTGAAAGACGTTAGTTTTTCCAGTTAAAGTTTTGATTTCTCTAGGCGTGTTGATGTCAGATTCTTTGAGCTAAGAAATTATTGCTGTGAAAAAGTGCGACCACTAGCAGATGTTGTTGGAGGGTACCATTTTCGCTACGGTTATGAGAGAGCTGCTTTATATTCTTTTTTTACTCCGGCACTTTTTCCACCTGGACAATTTGATCAGCTGTCTTTTCTACTTCTTTTTCCATTGGTAACAATAACTTCTTCATTTTCCTTTGTTTTAGACTTACGCCTCAGTCAAATAGGTATTCTAGTAAA